GAGAATAAGCAGTACTAGTGGAGTGATGAACGTTTTAGTTTTTTTTTACAGTACTTGAAACACTTCATTTTATCTAACATAGATACGATTAAAAATGACCTTAGTTGTCAATTACAAAATGGACTTTTCCGATTTTACCTTGCGAGAAATAACATGATGACACATGTGGTCAATGTTAGTAGTCTGTTGAAATTTTGGAAATACCTATGAAGATTTGGTTCTGTGATCCGAGTAAAAAATGTTTCAAAATTTTTGTCACACCCGATATATGTATAGTATGTTAGTAGAGTTTGTCGACTTCTATTTCAAAACAACAAATAGATTTTACAGTATATTAATTGTTATTTCAAGTTCTAATCTTGTTAGTCTATTTTTAGAAAAATATTATAATGTATTTGTTTTTATTTTGTTAATACTGGAAATTATTCATAATTAGTGTAGAAAAAAAAAGAAGTAAAATTGAGGGGTAAAATGTATGGTAAATAATAGACAGTATTAAAGAAAGAGAGATGTAAGTAGAAAAAAGCAGAATGAATACGATAAAAAATCAATTTAACTAATTTCTTAGAAAATAAATAGTACAAATAAACTAGCCTTATAATGAGATAATATAAAAATAAACATGATGTATCGTATCGTACACAAAGATAAAATGAAACTATAAGACGAATAATAAATAATAATTAGTTTTTCTTTTCTTTGTTCATTTTTTATGATACTAAAATTCTTTTTAGGAAAAAAAAATCCTTGTAAAAAAAACCACTAATCTTATATGTGCGTAGTTTGTTGTCACTCTTCAGAATATAAACTTGGAAGTTGTGATTCGGTGATTTCTCTAGAGTAAAGACAAAAAGATCAATGACATTTAAATATAGTATTCACTAAACGATGCGCATCGATGCTCTAAATATTTTTTCATCAGAATTTTTGTTATGAGAGAAAAGGTATATTCAAGCAAATATTTTCTCAATGCCACAATTGATATTCTCTTACTACTTCGGAATCATTTCAATTTATTAGAAACTTCTGGACATTCATTCAAAGGTGGCAGAGATTTGTAGAATACGAAATCAAATGAATAAACTTCTAGGCTAGAAATTAAATTATAATAGAAATCTATATAAAATAATAATAAGTGGTGGTTCTTTGAAAAAGACCAACCAGAGTAAATTTTGAAAATAATGAACTGTTTCTTACTAGAAACTATATACATTCTTCGATTGGATATTCTGGACAAAAGCATATGAAGATAATGACTCTATTCTTGACATATAGTTTAGTCAGATAATCAAATGATTATATTTAAAATGTATATTACATGTTTATATTACGTATTTTATTCCATAAGAGTCAACTTCGTCCTTTGTTATATTCACCAGGTACCACCTTGTTATCTTGCAATGGTTTTAAAACGTTTATTCATATATTAGATAATTAACTATTAAGAACTAATCAGTTCGTTACCAATGTGCTAGCCTGTTTGAATTTCTTTTTTTTTATTATTATTTTACATCCACTCAATATACCGTAACATCCTAAAGATAAGACAAGAAAACAAATCACTTCATAAGACTATTTAATTAATATCACAAAAATAATTTTCATCTATTTTCACTAAATTTTTTCTTCATAATAATCTGTTTTTTTTTAATATACTTATCTGTTCGTAAATATTCACTGTAAGCTTCTTGTCTATTTTTATATTTTCACTGTTAGATTAAAAAGTTACATTTCTAACAGTTATTAAAAGAAAAGTCCTCTTTTTTTTTGTTAAGTCTATGCTTATCTGAACATTTCTAATTATCGATTTGTCTAGGGAGCGCTCAGAAATTTTATATTAAAGACATGAACATGATAAACGTTGTAATCTAAAAATCGCATCTGGATAATTTCATAAAATTAATAGGTGGTTGGAATGAGATTTTTTTAATCATTCTAAAAATAACAATATAATAAGCTTCATAATTCTTGTCACAATGAACTTTTGCACTTACACAAAATTTGCAGGGATAGTTCATTAATTTCAGTATATTCCTAACTGTGTAACTCTCTGTTGTTGATCTTTATCTCGGGCATGTCTTATCCTGTTAATATGTCGACAGAAATTATTTTTAAGATTTTTATTTCTATCAGAAGAAATCGAGTGTATTCAATCGTAATTTTTACCAAGAAAAAGCTATAAAAATATTTTCCGTATTTTTATTATTGTTAACTAAAAAGACCGATGTTTATTTTGATGTGAGATATACCGAATAAAACTATAAACTATTCTTTAAAAATCAATTTTATCATCTGACAAGTGAATATTTATATTAGATTATTTAAATTTAATACAGAAGTTATTTGTGGATTATTGAATAGAATTAGATTTACTACATTAAAGAACGTTTCGTAAAACAAAATGTGAATTTTATTTAACAATTACTTCAATATTCAATATTGTTAATCTCGCATATGTATTATAGTCTTGTAAAATTTGTACATTTAGTGTAGTAGCGGCGCCACAGGAAGGTAGAGGAAAGCTGAGCCCTCTGGAAAATTTTAAACGTCGTTGCTAACGGTGATTCCACAGAATGTCTGATGGGAGCTCAGCCTCATCTTCCTGTCTAACCTGGCGCCACTGCTAATTTCTTGCACGATCTTGTATCTTATTTTCATTAACTAGTATATCTTTAATAGCAATTGATCAATTTTTATCAATGACTACTTGATGACATCTTGATAGTTTTGTATTAGCTCGTTATCAGGTTATACTTGCTTGTCGTGTTTAGTTTTTTTCATGAAATATTGGCTTCGTTTCTATTGAAATACACTTGCTGATATATGTATAATAATTAGTTTAGGTTATAAAAAAAATGTATTTCTTGCTTTTATCTTCCTGTTCTGTTGAATGTTTGGTTATGTTTATTATGATTACATTTTGATTATTAGTATTGTTTAATATTCAAACATTAACTAATCATCAAATCAATATTATTCGTTTAAGTCATGAGCATCATTTAACAACTATGGTACTTCTATAAGTGATATTTGTTATATGTACTTCTGTAACTTTTATAGTTTTTAATATTTATGACTTAAATACAGTTGTAGCAAACCAAGAAGATCTTGTTCATCGTCCTATTGATTGATGAAATCATCATTTTTATTGTATTATGAAAATTTTGCAGTGAATAATTCGAATGAACAATTCTAATGCACAATTGATTTGTTTTTCGAATTCATTTTATATAATTTTTTTTTTTTTGTATTAAAACTCTTTCAACAAAGCTGATGAATACACTTTTTAAAATACATTTGAATTGATTGAAAAAATTATCTAATAAAGTTAAGAACAACCAAATCATGCTTGCTGTAAAATCAGTAGTAAATCAATAGATTGAACGACCGAACATTATAGAAAATTGTAAATAAAAAAAAAAAGTAGAACTATATTTTCAATTTTCTACAATATATTAATTTGTTTCAAGGTGTGTCTTTCAATAGATCTGATAAGTATGCCACGATGTTCATTATTCCATGAAGACATACTCAAATGCACATCTATACATGTGTGTTTCTCCTCCTTGTTCGTCTCTCTTCTTTTTTGAGTATGAGCTAACTGAATCATCTTGATATACGTGTCAAGTTGATATTAAGTGGAGACCAATTGTTCAATTTAGTACATTTGTACAGTACTACCTATATTAAATTCAAGCAGATAAGTTGATCACACCAGCAGCTGCCAAGAAGAGAAGACATGGATAGTTGTCTATATGTATTCAATTGGTTAAAGTATAGTCTCGTATTTGAGTACTTGAGGTAGGTTAGTCTGTCTTATTATGTGTGAACAATCAAATATTGTGATATAGAAAAAAAGGAAAAGGACATATTTCATCAAAATAAAATGGCATAATGTAAATATACATTGAAAAAAATCTACAATGCTATTAACGATGAACATTATAATCGATGCGTTTTTTTTTCGCTGAATAAAACTAATAACAATTGTCATGTTGTATTGATTACAAATTTTTTTAACAATGAAAGATCATATATTGTAAGTTAAGAAGATAAATGCGCTTAGTATCAAACTAACTAATTTAAAATATGAGTTGCCCATAATGTACACGGACCAAGAAAATCGAATTTCAATGTATTCACAATTTATTTCATGTGACCATAGTTCAAAATTGTAGCAGCATTTATTTTTCTTTTTTCGTTGTGATTGAATTAGAGTTCTGCGAGTTACATAAGAAAACATAATGTCATACATATTCAAAAGCAATTTGACGAACAAATTCAACATACTATTATTGTTAAATATAAGAGTAATAGACACAAAATTCCGACTATTGTACAATCGCTTTTGAATATCTTTGATATTGTTTTATGTAATTCGCCGAGCTCTATCCAACCATGACGAAAAAAAAAAAGAAAAAAAAATGTTGCTGAAATTTTGAAGTGTGACCACATGACATAGACTGTAAATACCTTGAAATTCAAATTTCTCGGTCAATGCACGCTATGAACATCTCATATTTTAAATTAGTTAGTTTAAAAATTCTAGTACACACATGCCATACTATATCCATGCTAAAAGCTTGAAAGCATTAAAACTTGTAAGATACATGAAAAAAAATTATTAGCACAACCCCTGAAGAATTAAAATGTGAAACACAATGTAGTTCCTGTTGCTAATCACAGAGTGACTGTTTTTATTCTATCTATTTTAGAATAGATCTCCTCACCATTCTTTTACTTAATCCTACAGAAATGCAATAAGGAAGTAGTTTATATATTATAAGTAGGCATTCGAATTAGAAGAACATATCAATTTAATAAAATCTATAGCCTTTCTTCTTGCAAGATTTTATCAATTATAATTTCATATTTAATCTAAACACAAAAAAACCCAGTTAAATTTATTATAAACAATAACAATCATGATATAAATTTCGATGAATATTGAATAAATTTTTTTTTATGTGTGTTTTATTTGACAAAATACAAATACATTATTATAAGCAAGATGAGGAATGATGATGACCTTTTGCGGCATCAAGCATATCGAACATAAGATTAATATAATCAATAGCAGATTTAAGTGTTTCTGAACGTGATAATTTATTTCGCGCAAATTCTGTTACTGGTAAAACTTTTCTTAACTCTTCAAATGCTCGATTAAGTTTAAGCATACGTCGTTTTTCACGTTGTGTTGCTTCAGCACGTTGAACACCATTTAAAACACGTTTTCGTTTTCGTTTTGATCCATTTGGACGTGTTGGTCGACGTTGATCTGTTGTTGTCATTTTATTATTATTAGTATTTGTTGAATTGTTATTTATTCGTTTTGATAAATGATATGTTGAATCATCATCATCATCATCATCATCATCATCGGAACCATCTTCTAAATCATTATCATCATTATCAGAATTAACTACTGTTGTTTGATAAGGTACATAAAATGAATTTGGATTTGTATTCTCAATTGGTAAACGATAAACATCCGGAACTAACTCTCCATTATTTAGATGATATGTTGCTAGAAGATGTGATGGAGATGATGTATGATGATGATTATGATTATGTTCATTATCAGATATTCCATTAAACCATGTATTAGAATTGGAATAGACTGATGGATGTTGATAAGTAACTGACGGTAGTGAAGTTGAAGAAACAGGACCGAGGTCCTCGTATTGTGGATAATAAGCCAGTGTTTTGTTTGTTTTTTTTTTTTTTTTGATAGAGCTAAAAATAAAGAAAACAAAAGAATTTATTACAATTAATCTTAGAATTTTCTCTTGAATTTTCTTTGTGATTAATACGGCATCAGTTTGTTCTCAAACACTCAGAAACCTGTTGCGCTTGACGTTAATAAAAAAAAGAGGGTCACAGAAAAGCAGGGCATCATCAAGATAATATGATTTTTGTCCAGTTGTTACCTTAGTTGTAAACGATCGTTGTAGAAAGAGAAGTGCTTGATTTATAAAAGAGGAACAAAAAAAAAAAGGTGAATGGATTGATTGGATAGGAAAAAGAAAATATCTCAATCATCAAATCATGTTCACTTCCTATTGGATATTTTTACCTGAGGAAAGAAAATTCAACCAATGTGATATTTATTTCCTCATTTGATATTAAGATTTTTTTTATGCATTCATTCGTCTGTCGGATCGATTTATTGAAAAAAGAAAGAAAAAAGACAATGACAATGGTCACAGCTTGTCATTTGATAAAAAAAAACGATTTGATGGCATCAGCAGTGCATCTCTTTATTTGACAAATAGCTTTAGACATTAAAATAAAAATGATGTAATGATATAAGACAAAATGTCTGGATATGGTTAACTAAACATAATAATGGTCAAGCAATATGAACATCAATTTAATGCTAGTAGAAAAAGAACACACGCATACATACACCTGTATCGATAAATGATTTTTGAACTTTTTCTTTTGATCTTTAAATATAAAATTGAATTTTTCGTGGTCAATTAATTCAAGAGTTTTGTGCGGCATTAAGTAGCATATCATTTCTTTCTCATCATGAAAAATACTTTAAACAAGTCACAGCAGGTCCAAAAAGAAAAACGCTTGAATGAACACTATACACATACACGTGTGAGATATTATATTTTTTTTTAAACAATAATAAGAATGGCAACGATAGAGGATAAAAACAGAAAAAAAAGGTGAGCAAAATAAACATAGCCGTAAGGATAGAAGATTGATTAAACGGATTTTTTTTTCTATTCAATAACAACACTTCCAGAACTTG